TAATCCTTCGGGTGGGTTCCTCTGGGAAATTCTGTTTCCAATAGCACAGCACCGATAGAAGTTACAGAATGTGAGCAGAAATATACCATATATACACATATATAAATACAGAGTATACAAAAGGGATAAATAGAATAAATAGGAATAAGAATACAAGGGAATTGCACATTTCACATATTGAAGTCTATTGCACTGTTGGATATTAACGAAAATTATTGCACAGTGAAGAGGCACTACAGCTTAGTTGTCCCCCTCCTGTTTCCCCTCCCTCTCCCCTACAGAGAGGAGTTAAACAGTTTGATGGTGTGTGGGACAAAGGAGTTTTTAAGTCTGTTGGTTCTTGACTTTGGGAGAAGCAACCTGTCACTGAACAGACTCCTCTGGTTGTTTATGGCCGTGTGCAGAGGATGCCCAGCACTGTCCATAATGTCCAGCAGTTTCTTTAGTGTCTTTTTTTCTGCATTGTCACCAGAGTGTCCAGCTTCATGCCGACCACAGGGCCAGGCTTCCTGATCAGTTTATCCAGCCTGGATGAGTCCTTCTTTGCTGTGCTGCTCCCCCAGCACACCACAGCATAGAAGAGTACTCCAGCAACCACCGACTGGTAAAACATCCTCAGGAGCTTCCTGCAGATGTTAAAAGACCTCAGCCTCCTAAGGAAGTACAGTCGGCTTTGGGCTTTTTTTTATACAGGTGCTCTATGTTGCATGACCAGTCCACGTACACGAGTGTGTACCAATTCTCTTCTCTTCTGCCTTTTGTAATGGGATTAAGACAGAATGGTATATTGATGATGGTGCGAAAACATGGTGGCTTCCAAAAAAACATCCACAGCTCTGTATATTTACTGAATTAATTGATTGTTGATTTAATGTATTCTAAGTGTATGAGAATGCATCAGTTTGTCGGAAGATGCATTACACAATAATCAATGCAGATTCATGAGTAATCATTGTTTGTTTTTTCTATTAAAGAACCCAAAGAGTTAATGACTGTACTTTCAAGACTAGGGGAGACCGGGGATAGTTGTAACATTTTTGACATTTCTGTCTGTAAATTGAAGCTCTTTTAAGGTAGTGGATTCAAAATGTAATGCAAAGTATTTACATGTCTC